CAACTAAACATGGATTCAATTATGTTAAATTTGATTTTGATTTAGAATATGACAGTTTTTGTTAAATACCCAATAACGAAAAGATAATCAAATTACATAACTATCTTTAGTTTGATTAGATTTATGTTTCATTAGTTTGATTAGATTTATGTTTCATTAAGCTTGAAGAATTTATGTTTCTATCCATTCTTATTATGTTTGTTGTTCATAAAAAAAATATTTGCATATTATCTATCAACATTAATCTATATTTATGTTTCTTTAAATGCATTGAAAGCCTTAAATCCATGGTAAATATGCCTATTATTTGGCTTATATATGCAAATCAATTATAAGATTGCTGTGTTAATAATAATAATAATAAGTTATGATGGTATTTTTTCAAACTTAAAGTAAAAGTAAAAATCTTTAGGATTTCAATCTCAAAAGAGATGCCATTAGCTTTTTAACATAATATTATACATAAAAACATACAAAATACAATATTATCTTAATTTGAGAGTTTTGAATTACAATCAAGATTTTTAATATATAAAGAATACAACCAAATGCTTAAGATATGCATTAAACCTTCACTTTAATTTGTAAGTTTCGAAGAACAATCTAGCTTTTTGATATATAGAGAAAAAAAAAACTTAATGCTTTACATATGAACTAAACTTTAATTTACACATTAATATTTGTTTAAAAAACTCTTTCTGACAAATTAACCTTGAGATATAACGATCAAGAATATCTTTTACCTAAACATTAGAAACAAACCAAGATAGAAATTATAACAAACAAACCAAAATAAACATCTACAAATACGGACCCAAATACATAGATCTACGAACACAGCCGACTAATATATTGATTAAACACAAAAACACACACACACATCAGCTAGTACTCAAACAATTAAACACACATAAATAGATCTAAAACATAGACGGCAAATACAGATATATACATACATATAAAGATGTGATCAGGATATCTAAAAACGTAAATAAGAATATAATACAAAGTTTTTATAAGAAACCCGCATCAAAATGGCCCTATATTCGCATCAACAAAAGAGATAAATGAGGCTACGAAGAGGCGAAGGTTTCTACAAATATCTAGAGACCCATCTCTTACTCAAACTCATATTTGTGTCCTTCCTTTCCTTCTTTCTTCTCAAATCGTAAAATATGAAGGTGCCTACTAAATCATATCTACTTAGATATATGCAGATTTAAAAGATGGTGTCTAATAGTGGGTGTGGTTGGGGTGAGTTGCTGTTGGTGGCTGTTTGATGCTTAGGAACTATTCAACAAAGAACTCTTCAACAGGTAAAGTGGTAGTGTTATTTTATGAGTTACATAACAACAACTTAAAGAATATTAAGAATATTAAGGAGAGGAGATGGTTGTGGTGAAATGCAAATACATAAACATTTTTTCCACCATATCACATATTTACAAGTAACAATATCTAAATACTTTAGAACCCATACCAACATTTATACAAATTTACAAAATATATCAAATGAATCAACAATCTATTTACATCAAACATAAATAATACAAAAACAAAAACAAAGCATTTCGATCATTCTGGATCAAAGGATTACATTCATATTTACAATCAATCATCAAACTATTTAAACCTACATATTACACATCTGAAAAATAAAACCAAGATCTAAATACTTCACGTCATCTATCAAAAACTTATAATAATTGTCGATGAGTTCTTCCGTTCCAAAGTAAAAGCCATTCAAATCTGGGTTTTCAAAAAACATGAGAAAATCGAAAACATAAGAAATTAATAGTAGGTTAAGAACAGATAATAAGAAAATCTTAGGCGGAAATTTATACCTAAGAACAGATTATAAAGGCCTTCAATATTTTCTTCAAGAGTAAGTTATACAATTTTTTAAGGTATATAGACCTTCAATATTAATTATATTTTTAAGGTATATAGGCCTTCGATATATTTTTAAGGCATATAGGTCTTCAATTTTGAATCATGTAAGCTTCAATTTTGAGATATATAGGCCTTCAATGTTTTTTTCAAGAGTAAGTTATACAAATCGTTGATCTGGTTTGTACAATCTGTAGGTTTTGTCGCTAAATTTTTCTACTTGACTCATTTTTATTGTAATTATATATTTTTAAGATGTAGAAGTCTAAGACTATGTTAGGCGTATTAGTTGAAAAGCTAGTTGTTAGCTGAAAAACTAGTTGACAGTTATATAAAAATGATGGTTGTGAAAATTAGCTGATAAGTTAACTGAAATATATGAAATGATATGAAAGGTCATTTAAAAAAATATTTTATTTTATAACTAATTAATGATATATTTAAAAAAATGCTTCTAAAATACTAGTTTGAATACCTTTATAAAAAAGCTAGCTTATAAGTTACTGTCTTGTCAAACATTACAACTAAAAAAGATTGAAAAATAAGTTAGCATGTGAAACACAACCTATATATTGAACAACTTTATACAATTACTATTTTGACTTTCAATTATATTTGAGCCTCATATTCAAATTTTTATTCCCCAATGTTTAAAATCTCTTATGAAGGTATTCAAATTTTGTCTAGTTGCTAAAAGAGACTAATGCATTGTCTTTTCTGATATCTTAAAATTAATCATAACCAAACTAAATAAGGTCCAATTTATTCGGTTCGGTTTACGAGTTGAACGGAATAAAATTTTACATGTAAAAATAAATATTAAACTAAAAAAAACGTACTAAACTTTTTACCGAATGAAAAAGATACACTAACACATAACATATATTGTCTTGTCTTGAAGTTATAAAATTCCTTTAAACCATCAACAATGTTGATGCAACATTTTTTTCTACCATTGTTGACCACCCATGTGATATTACCGTTTTAACCTCTTCTAAATTTCTAACATCCTTGAGAAGCATGTTTCCCTTTCTTCAACTTCAACGTCACTAGAAGAGCTAAAATTAATATAAGGATTATTAGGCTTAATGACTTGTACCTTGAGCATGAATTCTGTTTTTTTAACTAAATTAGCCACCCCGTCCCCTGAATCAACTAGCTTCCCATCTTCTTCACCCACAATGCTTTTGGTCGACTCTTTTTTTTTTTGGCTACCACCTTCTTTCGGCAGCAAGATCTTCTGATGCACTCGATTTCGGATTAGAAACCATCCACGACTTCATCTTCATCGTTTTCTATCCCAATTTCTCTATCTCTTTCCTTTTATTCTTGAACACCATTGCAGGTTAGTATCTCTATCTCTTTCCTTTTACTCTTGAACACCATTCCAATTGTTTGATGAAATGTCTGAAAGAAGTGAACATTGATTCAAGAATTTGATTGCTAAGAATAAATCTGTTTCATGTGTTTTATCTTAATTTCTAATTCTTCATTTTTCTTCTGACCTCACTGTTTCATTTTTCTAATTGTTTTTTGAAATTGATTCAAGATCATTTGTTTTAATTCTGTCCAACTACATATCAGTCTTCTGTTGTGCTCCCATTGATACCATTTGAGAACATCTTTTTCAAAATACTTCATCGCAACCTCCAAACTTTCATCATTGGACAATCGATTTAGGGAAATATATTGATCAACTTTTAAATCCAAGAGCCATCAAAGATAGATGTCTCTAATTGTTTACCTTTGATAGCAGAAATTGGTTTTCGTTCTTGAACTGCCCTCTGTTTCTTGATCTTTATCCATCTTCAAATGTTGATCTATTTCTTTTATTTGATTCTTGTTGAAATAGCACAACTGACATATTTTCTTCTCTGTAGTGTTTTTTGTTTGTTTGAACAGATGCTTAGAGCAAATCTAGACAGCACCATCATCTTCTTCCTTTTCTCTTCCATATTTTGTTTTTGCTGATAATTTTTTAAGATACCAAGGCTTTGTTTCACTCTTTTAGGCTTTATTCCTTTTTTCATCTTTATCCATCTTCAAATGTTGATCAACCTCTTTTAGGCTGTGTGACTATAAGTATCATACACACTCTGCGTGTGTATGTATTAGTCTGGCTGTGTGTTAACTGCAACAGAACCTAAACTGGTTATGTATATTTGGTAACCATCAGCTGCTAAAGAAACTTGGATGCACTGCTCTTAGTTATATCAAAACATATATATTAATTTTTGTTTAAGAGGCTTATCAGATGAAGATGATGTTTGTATTGTATTTGTCTAATATAGTGGTTTGATATGTAACTAATAGGTAAAGCTAACTAAAACAATTACTTAACAAGTGACATTACTAGCAAAAGATGAAGATGAAGGTGCATACATGGTTGGTGTTCAGCGGCCTGTGTGTATCAGTGTATGTGTGTTTTAGGGAAAAAAAACTAATTTTTTTAATAAAACATTGTATTTTGAAATATTTTCACATTTGGATAGATTTTTCAAAGTACATTGCCTTTAGAAATGCAACTATTACTTTAACTGGTATGTCATGCTTCTGGATTGAGTTTTCAAAGTAGAAACATGATTATCAAAGTCCATGAGCAGAATTTTTTCTACAGCAAATGGTTAAAAAATTAGAAAAATTGTCCCTGCCTAGTAGAAAATTTAAAAATTATGCCCTCAATAAAACAGACATTGGAACTTATGAGTTATGCAACGCCGGTTATAATGTAATTACTGGTCATAATGGTATTTTTAATGGTCAAACGTGCACAAAAAAGCTGACCAAATATGAACAAATGTGATAAATACTTACCCGCATAAGTCATTTTCTCTTTTTATTATACCCTTAGTGGTTATTATTATTATTATTTTTTAAATTCTTAAATATAAATAGAAAATATAAACTCTTCACGATGCCTTATTTCACACAACACTGGACAATGGCCACTCTGGTGTTGGTGACAATTTTATTGATAAATGGGACTTCAAAAACCAATGCCAAATACAAAAACAAAACATGGTTAGTTTTACATGACTATCTATGTTCGTCTTTTTTGCAAATTTGCAATGAGCACCACCACCTTCACATAAACCCAATCTTTTAAGCTATCAAGAAATATAAAAAAACGCATATCTTCCACGACGGTTGAGGAGTAAAGCACCACATGCTATCCAAAATCCAACAGTGAAACCAATGGCCTCACCAATATAGAACCATACATCAAGTTCATCTATACCTTCACCCTCACTTTCACCAATGCTATGTTGTATTCCCGATTCTTCATCTCGAGTACATTTTTTGGTAAGGGGAGGTCCGCATAGCCCTAAGTTCCCTTCGTATCTTGAAGGGTCGAAGGACTGAAGTTGTGTGCTGGATGGGATTCTCCCTGACAAGTTATTATATGAGACGTCTAGGTAATTCAGTGAAGCCATTTGAGACATGCTTGATGGTATTTCTCCTGAAAAATTGTTTCTAGATAAATCCAAAACTAAAAGGTTTTTCATCTGACCGATTTTCCATGGAATCTTTCCAAGTAGAGCGTTCTTTGATAAGTTGAGTGCAATAAGTTCATCAAGATTGGTAATCTGATATGGGATTTCCCCTGTTAAGTTGTTGCTTGACAGGTCGATGCTCCTCAACAACTTCATATTACTTCTGATGAATTCACGTTCAGTTCCTTGCCACTGGATCATCACATGGTCAACATTATATGAATATATTATTAATATATCGTCAGGATCTAAATTCTGTAGTTGAGAAAATCCTTGTTGCACCATGATCGTAAGATTACTCAAACATGAGGGGATGCTTCCATGTAAATGGTTCACGGACAAGTCTAGAATTTGAAGACTTGCTAATTGACATAATTGTAAAGGGATGCTTCCAGAGAAGTTGTTTGATCTTAACATAAGAACATACAACCCGGATAAGTTTTCCCCAATCCAAACAGGTAAATTACCAGAAAACTTGTTGGCCCCCAAATTCAATGACTTTAAGCTCGTGCAATTCTTAACAGACAAAGGAAATTCTTCAGAGAAATTGTTCTTGTATAAATCCAATTCCTCAAGGTTAATCATAGATCCAAGAGAGGTAGTAAGCCTTCCAGACAGATTGTTGTCTCCAAGAAAAAATGTTCCAAACTACAGAGGTTACCAAGATATTTGGGTATCCCATCTAACATGTTGCCAGAGAGATAAAATTGGACAAGGCTATTGCTGGTTAATGGGAACAACCAATGATACATGGATGAGGTGAGATTGTTGTCTCCAAGAAAAAGGTATTTAATAGATGAGGAAGAAGAGTTGAGAAATGAAGAATATGGATAAATGACCTGTGACAGCTCACATCCCGATAAACTTAAAACAGAGAGTTTCCGGAGACTCAGAATAACATCTACCCAATGATTTGTTTTGGCCAATGAAATCCCATCCATTGCAAGTCCCTCCAGATGAGACAGAGGAGACAACCACTCAAGGTTCTCAACTCTACACCTTCCAACCTCGAAAAGGTAAAGCACTTGCAAGTTGGTGAGGTTTCCGAACTCCGGAGGAATGGCTCCATAAAGAGAATTAGATGAAAGGTCAAGGTATTTTAATTCTGTCAAGGAACCAATGGACCTGGGAACTCCGGAGGAATGGCTCCATAAAGAGAATTAGTGCCGCACTAAGAGGACTCCAACGGACCACTATTATTATTGTGGGATAGAGGCCCAAATCACTCCAATGGCACGCGAAATGAGACACTAATTTTATGCTGAAAATAATAGGCACTAAGAGAACTCCATAAGAGACCACTATTACTATTATTGTGGGATAGAGGCCCAAATCACTCCAATCACATGCCAAATGAGACACTAATTTTGTGTTGAAAATAATAGGCACTAAGAGGACTCCAAAGGACCATTATTACTCTTATTGTGGGATAGAGGCCCAAATCACTCTAGTCGCATGCCAAATGAGACACTAATTTTGTGTTGAAAATAATAGGCACTAAGAGGACTCCAACAACCACTATTACTATTATCGTGGGATAGAGGTCCAAATCACTCCAATCGCATGCCAAATGAGACATTAATTTTGTGTTGAAAACTTTTGGCCTTTAAATATGGCGGTCGCTCAATTACTACACAAAATCATTTTTACATTATAACTGAAAGAACCCTTTTCTAAACTTTCATACTTTGACAATATAGTTATTCCAAAACATGCTACATGCATATTTATAAAACAATATCTTACATCGATAAAGTGATTACAAAAGATTGGATACAAACATACTATGTTTTAAGATTTTACATAACTACCCAGGATATTGTAAATTTATACAAACATAAACCGAAATACCAAAAGTAATATTACCACTATTCTAAATCTTCCAACAGTATATGACTATACTGGTTACTTATTTCCTGCAATTGTTAAACACTGAGAGGGGTAAGCGGTGACGCTTAGTGAGTTCAATAATCAACTATAATAAATGAAGATCCATTTTGCCACATGTCAATCTCTCATGAGTTTTGACACTTGTCATTTTATGATATTTTTGAAATTAAATAATATCCACATGTCAATTTCTAGGTTTTTCTAATTCTTAAAATTAAAAATTTACATAATACTTATACATGCAAAGTATTAAATGTAATAAATAATTAAATATGATAGTAATTCTAATTAATACATTTATTCTTTCCTTATTTCAAAATTTTATTTAAAAAAATACCTAATGTTTACATTTTAATATTTAATTTTTTTAATCAACCCGTGTAATACACGAGTTTTACACCTAGTAGATACAATATAACGTTATGCCATATATATACTTCAATATGGCAGAAGCAAAAGAGGAACAAGGAACAACAAATGCATATGTGAATCATGTGACAAACCTTCCATATCAATCATTGATTTAATTCAAAGATATAAAATCAATGAGACATAACAATTTCCATACTTGATATACATCAATAAAGCTTTGGCCCGAATGGCACAGAAGATACTCAGGAATATCATTTTGCTAGAATATTCAGGCATTCAGCCTTATCGTAGCATACTGCCAAAGCCAAAGTGATGCCTATGTCATACACTTCATGGTCAACGGTTCATACCAATACCCAAGTGATGCCTATGTCATACACTTCGTGGTCAGAGGTACAACCTTACTATAAAAATAGCAGAAATAATAACACGAGATGATAACATGAAAAAGCACATAGCACATATAACACATAACATACAATTGTTCCTATATATTAAACTCACCTTGAATTAACCGGGGGTCAAAATAATAATTTGTGCAGCATTTCGGCTCTAAATATGACTTTATTTGTTGAAAACCGGGAGATTTATTGAAAAACCGGGCTCTGCGAAAGTAGAGCTTCAAACCGAAAAGATAAATTTCTCGAGCTTCACGGGCACTTCGGGGCGTGTTTCAGGTGCTAAAAATGATATTGGGGCTTCGGGGGATATCAAAATAATAAAAATATGGATTTAGGGGTGAAAAATGGCAAAAATCCCATTTTACCCGGGTAATCTCGCAAGTCTCCTATTTATAGGGGTGAGGTCCGAAGGTCGGCCGAGAAGGGGGACACGCGGCTGCTGGAGCGAAGGTCACGAAGCGAGAGGAGCTGGCGCGCATGTGAGACTCGGACGCGACACGGGGCGAGGCGCGTCGGACGGGGATAGGCTTCGCCTTCGGTTCAATCAGAAGGCAACACGCGTCAGACGTTCGGACGCACATCGCATCGGGTGACTAAGGTGCTTCGGACACGCGGCCTACTCGGATAGAGGGTGACATGGTCGGTTCTGGATAAGGCTTATCCATGCGAGATTCCTCGGAAAATGAGCCCAAATCTTCTAAAATCCATAACTTTCTCATACGGGCTCCGTTTTTGACGTTCTTTATATGCACGCGTAGGGAAAGTTATGCTCTACAACTTTCGTTTAGACTTCGTCGGAAAATTGTGACTTTATTTTTATATTATTATTTTTAACAGACCGGGACTGGTAAATCCGTTAAAAATTCATAACTTCTTCATCTGACATCCGTTTTCGTCAGACTTTTTACCGTTGTACTGCTAATGACGAGACCTTCGATTCTCATTTAGGTTGTGTCGGCTAAAAATCACTCGATCTAAAATTCGAGTTTTTGGCTGTCTACTGCTAAGCTGAAACTTAGAAAAAAATCATAACTTCCTCATACGAAGTCAGATTTTGGCGTTCTTTTTATCAAAATTCTCAGTTTAACGAATACTACGACTTTCATTTAGATCACTAAGGATAAAAAATAGATCAAAAACTCATTTTTTACGTCATTCGGCGCCGTGCCGGTTTTGTCCCGGATCTTCGACTGGTCATAACTTCTTCGTTATAACTCGGATTTCGATAAGGTTTTCGCCTAAATGTTTCTAAAGAGATTATCTACAACTTTCTATAATAAAATTTTACTTATTTCAAATTTTATATTTTCGCTAAATTTCACTATTTGGCTTTTAATTGGAATCTCATAAGACTTCCAATATTTTATGAGTGATTTTAAACATAGTTTTACTTCATTTCTAGTAAAAACTATATGTTAGAGCTCAACACTCAATTTCACATAATATTTCATAATATTATTAACTTTTCAAATTACATAACATGATTTCAAAACGTGTATGTTACAATAAAATAGGGTTAATGACTTAAAACGGTAATTACGTTTCAATTTTGTACAAAATACACCATTGAAGTATATCAACCAACTTAACAACTCGTTCACATAATACCATCTTAATTGACTTTTCTTTCTTATATTCCATTGTGTATCTGGTTCTACCGATTATGAGGTAAAGATGACTCAAAAAAAATAAATAATTACTGTTCATCGTCCTCTCCATCTCCAGGGGCCCTCAATCTCTTTTAAAAGAATAGCTCCCTTATATGTAAAATAAGCATGAGTAAATATTTATCTTACATAGGTAACTATTAAAGTAAGCCCTTCCCAATTATTTTTATAAAAGCAATTGTTTTATGTGAAAAGAATGAAGTTGTGAGAATTATGACTAATTGAGGCCCACGTCTGTCAAAAATGACACTGCCACTGCTCCAAATATTTTTATTTTAATAGTCTATTGATTTTATACCTTATTTATGTCAATTCGTCAAATATGAAGTTATTGGCTATATTGTTATTTAATTTAATTCTCTAATCAATAAAAGCAAAAAAATTTAAACCTTATTATATATTTTATTTTTTTTAACTTGATATTAATAATTTAATTATAATTGAACTTAAAGTCAGATACTACTTTGTATATTTTTATAAATTTTATTTAATTGCACTCTTCTACAATGGAACATTCTTTTAAAATGGAACATAATATAATATTATCTGTTTTCTAACCGGTTCTTTTTAATAGTAATAGGTTAATAGATGACAAATATGATTTTGATCGTTTGAAAATTTTAAAGATTGTTTTTTACAAAGATGAATATAGTTCTTATTTAAATGAATTTTTTTGTATTAATTTTCTTTTTGAATTATACATACTCTATTATGATATTTGGATATAAAAATATTTCAATATCTAACTACAATATAAGCCCCTCTTATCTTAAAATTCTGACTCCGCCCATGTCCATATCTTTCTGACTTCCATTCCAGGTCTAACTAGAGACCTGCTGTACCTCCCCCTTGCGCAATGCCTTTTTCGAGC